AAAAAAAAAAAAAAAAAAAAAAAAAAAAAAAAAAAAAAAAAAAAAAAAAAAATTGAATTACTCTGCACACCTTCAACGGCCAACTGATAAGTAATCAACACTTTTTAAGTACATTTATAGTTAAAAACATGCAAAAGTATATAAGTGAATATATATATATATATAGTTCATTGTTCTTCTCGAAAGGAAAAACCAAGCAACTTGAATTTCCGGGACAATAATTTAACAATATACTTTCGTTCATCTCGCCTACATTCAGTTCTCTCAATAGAACGGTTCAGTTGCACGCTAGATCGCTCTAAGATTCGACTTGGCTCTCTTCTTTGACTGCTTGATAATTGACAGTATACGCAAACAAGCCCAGTGCAGGATAATCGGAGTACATCCACGCAATGTATTTACTGTCGCTGTTGCTCTTGCTACTCATGCCTGATGCCACAAACCGACAGAAAGGTACTGAAATTGTGCAGGTGTCGGGTAGGTATGATGGTGGCGACGAGGTTGTGCCCGGAGAACTGATCGAGAGCTTGCTGGATAAAGGCAGGTCCAGACAGACTGCCCACTTTGTAGAAGATACGCAGGTGGCAAGGCGGGCTCTGGGACTGAGAGCCTTTGGTCAGCTTGCATAGCAAGTACTCGAAAGCCTCAATGAGTTCGGGTAGCGTGAAATCGGCAGACGAGACATTGGCGTTATCCGTTGTCAGGTTTCCCGTCGAGTTGGAAGAGCCTGCCAAAATAATATTTTATTATTGCTACTGTCAAACTGAGTATAAATATATTTTCAACGTATGCAGTAGAGCTAACAAGCTAACTATTTATCAAACGTGAAAAAGTTGACGAAAATTTCATCTAAACATTACCTTAGAACTGAATAAACTTTTTTTATAGTACAGCCATTGTTAGTTTTTTATTTTGTAATCGTATTTATAAATATTCTTTTTCATGGTAAAGATTTATAATCATACTATCTCACATCTATTTTTATAAAGATACGTAAGTATTTTGTACAACTTTTATGATGCACAGTACCATAAAATGACTTAATTATCCATCGATTCAATCGTCAAAAGCGCATTACAGACAATGGGAAGATGTATCACGAAAATCTTTCCCGCAAACCTACCGACATTTGAAAAATGTCTGTATCTTTAACAATTAATCTGACTAGGTTTGAGATAGTAATTTTATCATAGTACAATGCCAAATAAAGGGCAATTTGATAATTTGAGAAAAAATAGTCTTACCAGTCGACAGGTAACAGACAATGGCAGAAACGTTGTTCTCGTAGTTCCACCTCCTTCTGATGGCAACCTTGAAATTGCCAACACACTTGCCAGTCTCTTCATCTGCAGGTTGTTAAGTGAATGGTTGGATAGGTGGCAGGGGGGCATGCAACAACAAGAAACGATCAAATAATAAAATAAAAAAAGAGTATAACAAGAATAACGCAACGGAAAAACGATGGCTCTTTGAAAATAAAACATTTCGTGGGGGAGGGGGCTGTTAATTGGGCGGCAGTAGAGCTAAGAAAAGCCAAGAACCGTCCAATAATAGGTGTAGCGAGACGTTCCTTGGCCAGTACTCACACTCAAATCTGTTGTTGTCGCGGTGCGCCCAAACGCACCACTCGACCTGGGCATCACGGGGCAACCTCGACACAACTACGTAGTCGACGATCGCGTTGTTCGTACGCTTTTCCCACTCCCTGCGGGCAGCCGGTATGAAGTTCGGGTGGGTCAGGAAACAAATGCCTTGCACTATGTGCCTGAGCTCGGTGTTTGAGTCCATGGCCTTGACGATCCGGTTTATGTGCCTCAGGGTCAGTCGACACTGGCGCTTTATGTTTGAGTCGAGGATGGACATGTTGCCCGGCACCAACGGTATCTGGCCCGCTACCGAAATTATATCACCCACCTAAAATGGATCGATTCAAGCAGTTATTACTATTATTATTTTTTATTTTATTTGAAAATTTGATATAATTATCTGAAAACTAAAACTAAATAAATTATAACCATCTGAAATAAGTAATTAACGTCTGCATTTTTATAGTTACATTGTTAGAGGTGAAAAATGAGTCTTCAAACAAATTTAATTAGGCAGAAGAAGAGGTAAGAATAGTTAAGATATAAAGAGTGACAGACTCAATAGAGTGTGTTATTACATGAAAATAAAGAGAGCTACCAAACAAAATAATAGACGGGTGCTTAAGTTGGCTTTTGAAATTAAGAGACTTGCAGGAATATTGTGCAACTTATTTTTTACGAGTATTAATTATTATAATTTGATTTATACCTTTTTATAGATCATGTGTATTTATTCATACACATGTGGAATTAAACGTGTCTATTCATGAGCATTTATCAGTACAATTTATCAAAGAAATGAACGTGAAAAGATTACTCACTCGAACAGCTTGTGAATAAGGTCCAATATTGGCAGGCGCCCAATGGCTTATACTTTGAACGTGCATCGTGTGTCTTTTGGGTATTTTTTTATCGCTCTTTTCCTCCTCTTTTTCTATTTTCCTATAGGCTAGTGCATCCAAAACAACGTGAAAGTTTATATTTATAGGAACTTCTGTACAAACTCTTACAGGCGGATTAACTTTTGCAAGCTTCGACACGTAAACTTCATTAATATCGGAGTAGCTCGATAGATCCTTTAAAAACATTGTCACAGCAACAAGATCTGATACTTCTAAGCTTTCTTTTTTGACTAGATCTGTATGAAAAATATTACTTTTCAAAGCCACGATAACTTAAAACATCTGACGTATACAGTAGATACCATGCCTTACCAATTAATCTATCTAATGCCTCTGCCATGGCGAGCTTTGGTTCAGGATTTTTACCAACAATATTACCAAACCAGTACCAGCCTGTTTGGTTTTTGCTCATTCTCGGACGATCAGGATATTCTTCTTTTTTATACGTCACTTCCATTGCACTTGGTAGATTAATTTGTCCTGGGAAATCGACAAAGTGTATTGTAAACGTTTTCATATTAAATAGCAAGCTGGTTTTCATTAGAACGAAATTTATACCACAGTTTGTCATTTGTAAGTCTTTATAATCTTTCTCCTGTTCGTCATTTTCATCATCGGATAAATTACATCCATCTTGTAGGTCTGGTCCAACTATTTCCGAAATATAGTCAAGTGGAGCTTTCACAGCAACGTTCTTCAGTCTTTCTTGAAGTGTCAGATTTTCTATACCACTCTGAAATTATTCGAATTACATTATTTGTACACGCAAGTAAAATTAACGGTTTTTCTAAGGATAGAAAAAAAAATAGCTAACATTCTTATTTTGAAGATGTATCTTTTTGAAATTCAGGTACCCGACAGGTGCAACTTCATCATTAGAGTGCACCACACTTTCATATTCATCTCTGGAAAATTATTATTTATCAGAAGAGAAAAAAAACATATGTAATTCAACATTAATCAAAACTTACATCACAATGCTTTTGATGTACAAAGGACAATCCAAAGTAAATGTTTCGTATTCTCCTCCTTCGCCGCAAATGTTTAGGCCATACTTTTCTTTCTAAAACATCAAGAAGTTACAGCGATAGTTTAGATATGCATTTTTCAAGTGTTCACAAAATGATTCGTTACTTTTAGTTCAATGTATAATTGAACATTGAAAATATTGGAGTTGCGCCAAAATTGATGTGAGGCAACAAGCTGCGCTCTCAAAGCTTTCATCAGTCATTGAGACATTTACTTACCATTTTGGCGAGATGTGGTTGCATCTCGGAGATAGATTTTCCCAAATGCCTTGGTTCTAAACCCAACGACGCAACTTTTATGATGACGGCATTGACGGAACATTCAATCATTTCCTTCAGTAATTGTTCTTGGTCTCGCCTCCACAAGTACGACAGTGAAACCAGTCCTAATCTACTACATCTGAAATCAAAGCAAAGCTTGGTATAATTTTCACTGCATTCTTAGCCATTTCTTTGAAAAGATAAAATCAATGTAATCATTATTACACATTTTCTACTCGTATTCGTTGGTAATCACTTAATATGGCACCAGAGGAAACAGCCTTAATATCCTCTTCATCCTAAAATGTTTGTTTACCACATATTATTATTATTATTATTATTATTTTTCTTTTCCAGGCATTTTTAGGATTACTTTCGCAACTCATGCTCTAATTGAAACGGTAGTACTTATTTTTGAAGTTGTTTATGAAGATTTTTTAAATTTAGAAATATGTAGAAAACTTTGTGATAATTTTGTATACCTTAACTCGCTTTATTAGTCTGTACAAATCTTCAACTTCATCATCTTCCGTGGGCAAGTAATTTTTTTCTTGCATTTTCGACTCTCCAGATGTTGGCTCCCGATACAAAGGTAGTCCCATTGCTTCTCCAATGAACTCTACTCCTTGATGGCCAACAGTTTGGAACATAAATGAGTCCAGCTCATCTGAAAAATAATGACACATTTCGATGAGTTATTTTTTTAAATAGCGTATGCTGCAAAACTTTTGAAAACAAGTTTTTTTATTATTTTTTTTTTTAACGTACAAATGAACATTGTACAATAATTATTACTTTACTATTCTTACTTTAAAAGAGAAATGACATAGGTGGCATTATTAGACATACAATGAGAAGTTTGTTTCTTGCCAGATGAATACCAAAGTAGAGTTATAATTATATCTCGCACTATTTTGATGTAATTCAAAACTTTTGTACCTTTTCCAACTGGGTACAAGTTAGCAAGCGCCACAATCTCGTGTCCTGCTGCTATGCACTGCATCATGCTGAAGCAAGAATCCTTGCCACCGCTAATCAACGCCGCGACCTTCATGGTTGCAAGCTTTGGTCCTGCAGTGATCCTCAAGGGCCCTCCCAATTAAATTCTACAACGTGGCAGATCTGGTTTTTCTTTTCATGCAATCATCTATTATGTAAGACAGAAACAAAGTAATTAAGTACGATATTTGAATGAAAACATCAATAATGAATTACTATGTAAAGTAACATTTTGCGAGTCCATATGCTGTTCACTTCCGATCACATTTATAAGTATATCTAAAATATTTGACAAAGTGGATAAATAAAAATTTCATACAATAGACCTACTTAGATAGAATTTTTTTTTTTTTTTTTTTTTTTTACCAATAAATCGCGGATTTCATTGTTATGTAATCTATCAGTGAACAAAAGCTCAATCAAACTACAGCAAATCTCATTTGGGCAAATTAATTTGTCAGCATTCAACAAGATAAGGCACACGTGATTCTTGCGAAAACATGTACGTATCTTAGGAGCTTGATAATTTTGAACAAAATGAAGTCATCCAGGAGACTGTCTAATACGTACTAAATTTAGACCGGCTAATTGAAAAAAACATATCAAAAGTAAACAAGCGGTGTAGAAAGCCACAAAAAAAAAGAAGCTTTTAATGAAAGACAAACAGCTTGCCATAGTAAAGAAAAAAGCCTCTCACGTAGTAAGTACACGTTATTAACGAAAAGAACAGTTGTTGGCGGAGGAGCAAAAAAAATTTGGCTAATGCGAAAACACGGAGTTCCAAAAGCATAACGTATTACGAGAAGATAAAGGCAAAGATTGATGGAGAGAGAGAGAGAGAAAAGAAAAAGAGAAGAAGAAGAGTGAGTACACAAACTCAGCAGAATTACCAGAAAGTATAAGAGCTAAAAGAAAAAAAAGCACAAACACACCAAGGGAGGTTTATATATAATATAGGTAATATATGTATATACGAAAAAAAGGAGTTAAGAAGAAGAGGAAAAAAAAAACACAGTATAGTGTGACTGTGACAGTGAGCATGCCCCCCTCCCCTACTTTGGTTTGATAAGTGTTATCACCGCACTCGTTCGCACTAGAAAGAGTAATAAGAAATAATAATATTTATGGGCACGGTTGTACCGTTCGATCTCGCGAACAAAAAAAAAAAATAACTAATAATGAGTATTTAAAAGTTTGAATAACAACTTGGGACAGACAATTGTAAATAATAAGTCTTATTACTTGTCTTAAATCTAGACATTAAAAACTGTTATTAATTCTTTTTATTTCCTACGGATTTTAAAAAATAATTATTAGCAACTTATCAAACAAAATTATTTCCGCTTAGGATCGAAATAAAATATGATTTATAAGGATGTGGTGTGAGTTTTAAGTAAGTTAAAACAAAGTTAAGTACGTTTATTAATTTATTTTAGAATTCGAAGCCTCTACAAGTGCAACTGTATGAAATGACACAATATTGTATATAAAATCGCATACATATTCTTTCGTTAAATATGAGCACTTCGTCGTATCTTTAAACACGACTTTTTTATACACACTCTCTAAATCTGAATCATTCATTTCTCTTACAATTTTCTATATAATATTAGATCTATGATAATCGATTTGCGCTTCATATACATATACAAACCTTTTTCTGAAATATAATCTACAAATTTCTGCACAACAGTAGGCATGAAATCCGTCAAATCACTCAATACACGTAAATTACAATCAATACATTTGACAATAAGTTCGCTAAAATGATCAAAGTTCACCTTTCTTAGAACTAAACTACGACAGTATTGCTTCGCAACACTACCACGCACACCTTGTTTTCCTCCTTCTTCAAGCTCAATAGCCTTGTCGTTAAAGCTTACAGTAAATTTTAGGGACCAGCTGGAGCCATAAATTTTGATGTCCCGCAAGTTGCTGTCGTCCGTGGTAAAATACTTCTCAATGTCTGTAAACATCAATTTGCATTTTTTGCGATCCAAAATTTTGAAAGAAATCCTTTTGAAATCTGTGCTTAAGGAGGCTTAATACTATAGGTTTTCAAGAATGAGATGAAAAAGTAACGGACATTTTAGTCTAACTGGTAACATGCACTGTGTACATCACTCTTTAAAAAATCTCTATTTCAGCAGACGAACCCAGGATCCTGTTCTTGGTTTATTTATTATATTATAATAGTACAATCCTTGNAAAAAAAAAAAAAAAAAAAAAAAAAAAAAAAAAAAAAAAAAAAAAAAAAAAAAAAAAAAAAAAAAAAACAATATACTTAGCCAAGATAGGGAGACGCAACCACGCAACTAAACATCCCAAACACATTTTATCGAAACCCTCCCTTATCAAAGCAAAATGTAAGTCTATTATGCCTGTCTATATGTAAATATCAGTTGATTGGATAATTGTGCTGTCGGTGAGGGTGTATCAAGCCGGGCCGGGGCGAGGGGACAAAACAAAATAGAAATGTGTAATCCTAGAGGATATATGTGTATACAACACTTGATTTACTTGATTATGTATTGACAAGTTAATTAGCAACTCAGCATACCAAATACCAACACCAACTATATACATACAACACTGTGCGAACACTTATTTACACTTTTCACCGACCATCAAATATAATGATGGTCATTGCTAAAATATAGACGAGGAAAAAAATGTGACAGCATTCATGTAAATTACGCCTAGCAAGTGTAAGATTAACTTACGTCCTCCGTTGTTGCGTGGAGGTGGAGGGGTCCTTTTGTCTGCTTTTGTGCTTTTCTCATAAGATGCACCGACGGCACTCTCTCTCTCTCTCTGCCACTGCCTGCACTTCGGCACGTTGGTTTCTGTGTGTGGGTGTGCGTCAAAGCAAAATGCAACTTAACCGTGCCTTATTTATACCCAGCAGAAGCGAAGAAGAGCGCGCGTGGTGCGATCTCAAGGAGGCCGCGACGACGACGAAGAGACACGGCACCAAGAAATTCGGCTGCTCGGCGCTCGCTCTCTTGCGCGTATGTGCTCGAGATCGTGGCAATGACAACACACGGCGACAGAAGGTGATATTTATGTGATGGAATGGATGATGAATTTGGATTGTTTATGTACCACAACGCCAGAGAGTAACGCAGGCACCACAATCGTCGGCAGTCGGCCACTCGGGCATTATTTGACGGAACGTCGACGGTGGCGCAGTGACCTCGTGCGGGTCGGTCACTTTTTTTGCTGAATTGATGCTACTTTTTAATTACTAATCTGTACTTAGCTCTTTCACCTTCTCTTGTCAGTTTCACCTTTTCTGACAATTCCGACCCCCGCATTCTCCTTTCGTATACTATGATTTTCAGAGACAAATGTTTTTAGGCATTTTTTTTATTTACCTTCAATAAATGACACAAAGCCTGCATTGTGTAGTCCACATAACGACATAACGATCGGTAATACACATTACGCAGCCGATCACTATATAATACTAAGTTGTCACACTGCAATTTTGCTGTATGCATTTTCATTGTGTGTTGTACGACACACATTCGAATTGTGACACATTTTTACCACTGAATCTGCAAAATATGAGAGAAAAGAGTTGTGCACATGTGTAAATGTCTAATTGACGATCCGATTTGTACGGAAATAACTACACAGAAGCTCGTTCACGACATCTACATAAAAACCATCCAATAACCCTTTTTATGTAAACGCAAAAGCGCGCACAAAAACAAATATGAGTGCACAAACCCCGTATACGAATACTAATACGAGTGCACGACTGCACAAAAGCGCGCACACAACAAGTTGCAAAGCAGACGATTTCTATTTCATTTACTTAAGTACAGTATAATTGTTTATCGTTATACGTGGGAAAGTGATTTGTTCAATAAATAT